TTTCTCCCGCGTAAGATTGGCAGTATCTAGGCAACGTTTCGATGAAGTCTCATTCATCATCTTCAGGCTTTGTCTTTGGCTCTGTGCTTCTCAGAGTGATGTGAGATTGCACCTGCTTCTTCCTTTTAACTGCTAGTGGGGGTGTGACTTGAATGGGTGGGGGCTTGGCTGTGTTCTGATTGGGTGTGGGTGTGTTCTCATTGGTAGGGGGTTTGGCTGTGTTCTGATTGGTTGGGGGGTTGGCCGTGTTCTGATTGGCTGGAGGCGTGTTCTGTTCAGGTGGGGGCTTGGTTGTGCTCAGGTTAGTCTTAGTTGCTGGTGTATTTGAGTTGGTGAGCTGTGATCTTGCTGTTTGGCTTCGAGTTCGTGGTCGTGCCGCATCTTCATAGTGGGTGTCGGTTTGCTTCATGTATGGCTCAGAGGGGTTTGAAGTGAGTAGTGATGCAGCTGCAGTGCGGCTTCTGGTCCGTGGTCGTGTCTCATCTTCTGTGTGGGTGTGAGTCTGTTTTCTACGTGGAAGTGTGGTGGTGCCATCTTGTGTGGCTCTCATGGGTGTGGGTCTGGTGTCATTCTTCATGTTAGGTACTCGTCTGTTCATGAGGGCGGGTTTCCAAATGGCTGGTAGGCGGGAGGTGTCGTCTCGTTTATTCATGCTGTGTGGGCGTTTTTCTATCTCTATGGCTTCTCTGATTATTCTGCTGTTGAAGTGAACACAGATGAACACAATACAGAAGCCTGATGATGGCAGATGAGATTCTCCCAAAACGTTGCTACGACTTTAAAAGCACAACTACAATGACGTGGGAAAATACCCGAACAAAGCTGAATGCCCCATATATATATATATGTATGTATGTATGTGTGTGTGTGTGTGTATACACACACACACACACATACATATATACATACATATACACACACACACACGCACGCACACATACATACATACAGTGTGTCAGTTGGCTACAAATCTTTTGTGCTATCCTTTTGTAGTCATTTCTCAACTTATATAAATTTCCACATTGTCAAGCTAACATATGCTTGTATGCTTATCAATTATTAATCATCCATGACCAAACTATTTATTCTATCACTTTATATGAAATATTTCAAATGTTATTTTAAAGTTTATGTTATACTTTCATCCAATGGTTATATATGTCTATATTATATTTTATATCTATCTATTAAACCTATTACAAAATCAACAAATCTATTACATTACCATGTCTTTTTGTCCAACCATCGATAAAACAAATCCCATATCATATAAAATTGTTTATCTTCTTGTTCTCTAATTTCAAATGTCAATTTACTCATTTCAGCACAGTCCATAATTTTCTTAATAACTTCCTCCTGCATAAGTATTTTATCATTTTTCCAATTTTTAGCAAACACAATTCTAGCTGATTTATTCTTAAACACTCTCTCAATTCTCTTCGGGGGGTAGATGCCACCTGTAAAACATCTTATACAAATTTTCTTTATATGCAGTTGACATTGTCATTTTATAATTCTGAGACCACAATTTTTGCCATTTCTCTAAATCAATCCCATATCCAAATTCCTCCCCCCAAACAATCATTGTTTCTTTAACTTGTACTTCTTCCAGTTTAAATTCTAATAAATGAAAATTGACTTACTCTTAAAAAGCTTCTAGAAGTGCAGTTAATTATATCAGATAAAGAAATCAGATAACATCTGCCTGATTACCAGTTGCTCACAAGGCACTATAAGATATTGGCTTAATGTTTAAAGCCCTACACTGCTTGCATTTCTAATATTACAACTTTATTTGGGCATCAGGATCTACAGGACAGATTTCCCCCCCCCCCCGAAATTTCCTCCCTTCTGTATCAAAGGGTCTATATCAGGGGTCTCCAATCCCTGGTCCGTGGACTGGCACTGATCCATGGCATGCCAGAAATCGGGCTGCCCAAACAAGCGAAGCCATATCGATGAGATGCAGGCAGCACACAGAAAGATGCCGCCTTTGGTCTACAAAAAAAACTCTCTCCATGATACCGGACCCTCGTGCCCAAAAGGTTGGGGGCCACTATACAACATATGGGAAATGGCCTTTTCTTCAGCTGGCTCAAGCTGTGAAGCAATTATGGATGAAGACAGATTAATTGCCAATAAGCAAATAAATAAAGCAGATACTTTAGGTAATAAAGACATCTTGATATCAGCAATACGTTCCAGAAACGAAAATTGGTCTCAACTTTATATTGAGATCACAAGATATAACTTTACATTACAAGATGTAACTCAGTTTATTTAATCTAATTAATTTAGTGGACATTTTAATTCCCCATTATATAATTACAATGCTTTATATTAATCATAGACATTAATTTGGGACATTAATTTATATCTAAATGAACAATTATGGTGCAGCTGGGCAGCTCTGCTTATACCTCTCATTGTGAAATACTTTGAATTACAAACATTTATCTAAATCCAAACTAGATATTTTATTTTGTAACTATTAAATGAGATCACTTTCTCCTCATTTGATACTTATATACTGGATGAAATAGATAGGGCAGGGATGTCAAACTTGATTTCATTGAGGGCCGCATCAGGTTTGGGTTTGACCTTGGGGAGCCAAGGTAGGCATGGCTTGACATCACTCGTGTCAGGGGTTCATGTGGTGGCCCGAGCACTCTACCAATGAAAAAGGCTCCTGAGCTCTGTTTTCATTTGCAATGTCCCCCAACCTTCTGTCAGCGAAAACAGAGCTCCGGAAGGACGCCTGTGGCCTTCCTAAGCTCCATTTTCACTGGCAGAGCCACCTTGGGCCAGTCCTTCGCTATTTCCAGGGCAGCCCAGTGGGCGAGATCTAAGCACCCTGCAGGCTGGATCTGGCCCCTGGGCCTTGAGTTTGACACCCGTGAGATAGGGCCATTATAATTGATCAAAAGCTTTTAAAATTTAAGGTTAAAATGACTAGTGCATTTTTGGTGCATTTCTCATTAAAAATACAATTTAATAGAATCTGCTTTTTGTTTACCTTTAGTAAATCTATCTTGATCCAAATTTGTATAATCAGTAGTTAATTTGCTTAATCTTTTGAGCAAATAAATTGCAAAAGTCTTTTGATTTTATTCAAAGTACACAGTTGGTTGATAGGATTCAGCTCTCTGTTAGTTTTTAGTATCATAACTAACCACTTGATAACATGAATCAGAGATGTGATTATCCTGTAGTAGTGAGTCAAACAAAAGAACGAAAATAGAGGGCAATTAGTTTTGAAATATTTTGATAGACAGTTACAGTAAAATCACTTTATTTTAATTACTTGCTATATTTCTTTGGAACGTGGTTGCAATATTTTCTATGAGCTTAGCTGGGAGTGACTGTAATTGAGTGTAGAAAATCATTTATTTTATTTAAATGTATATGCTCCAATGAATACAGTTAGCATAAAACTATATACTTTATATATTTATTTATTTTAACATTTCTCTCTGAATATGCTTTAACTGAGTTATTTTAATCTGTGAAGCTTTCTTTTTTAATTTATTTGCTAATAAGTCATATGCCTTATTGCCATGCTATAATTTCTGTTAAATACATATCTACTTGGAGGCAATTTTATTACATTCCAAGACATCTAATCCTCTTCTCTTTCTCTCTAATCCTCTCCTCTTTTGAATCATTTTTATTAATGTCTTTATAACCTATATTTCTATATTTTAACTCTACTCTCTTCTTTTAACGAAAGCAAAGGACACACACAATAATTAACATTATCATTACAATTTTAATTAACATTTCTTAATAAAACACTAGTTTTTAATATTATGTGTGTGTGTAAATGTATGTGCTTGTATGTGTTAACAGAAGAGTTATATAAGTATTACTACTGTAATAGAAGGCTATATATTTTCATAATATAAAACCTATATTATGCCAGTTAGTAGAAAGATTCAGTGGTTGCACCGAAAAATAGGTATTATATCCAGAAGCTTTTAAATACATGGGAATTATTATCCCCAGGAAAATATTTACTTTAGTAGGTAAGAATATTTAAAAATACATTCTCCAGATGAAACATATTGAAGAGAACAATAAGAAATACCCCTGTTTATGCAGAATAATTAGTCTTGTAAAAATGAATCTTTTCCTCAAGATAGATACATATTTTTAAAGTAATGCTTATATTGGTTCACATAAATATTGTAGACAAATTGATAAGCTAATGGTTAAATTCTCCTAGAAAGAACAAACATTTCAGCCTCCGTGGTCTTCCAATGGCAGAACTCTCAGTGATTGTTTTGGAACAGCAGCATTAAATAAGAGATTTCTGGATTCCTATATATCAGTTTCAGGCAATCTCAGAAAGTGTTAATTAACATAATGAGTTTTTAACATATTATAGTTGTTAGATGATAAAAGTTCTTATAATCTAACTTGAATGTAATTTGCATTGGCATAAGCAAGGGTTCCTTTTTTCCCCACCTCATCCTAATTTAAATCCTATATCAGCCTAGCCACTCTATGGATCTTGTGAGGTGAGGTGTAGAGTTTTATGTCTTTAAATAAAATAAGTTAGTTGAAAAAGATACTACCAGAGTTCTTCAGACTCAGAAAAGATTTAAAGTCTGGAGACTGTCATTTCAGGCTTAGATAGTTTAACATAGGTTAAACTTGCTTGCAAAATTAGGTTATATGATTCTTAAGTAAAACAGGCTTAATAATGACAAAATGTTTACATTTTGAAAAAATGTGCAGTTTGTTCCTGCATTTTGATATACCCTTCAAATGGAAGAAGATTTTGCTTGCCTATGGTCATTAGTTCTGCTGGAATGGAATACAGCAATGAAATGAAATGTCTGCAAGTAAACAACCTCATCAAGCATCAAGGATTCCACAATATGGAAATGGATTTATCTCATATTTGTATATAGTTTTATTGTGAAAAATTTTGTGTATAAATTTTGGCTTGTATATTGCAACAGTCATCCATTAATCGTTTAATGTATGCTTTTCAGACTTACAGAATTTGAAGATACACCTGCAAGTCAGCTAACAATAGATGAGTTCATGACCATTGACCTGGAAGAGGAATGTGATCCTCCTTCATTTACAGCTGGTCAACGAAAGATAAAAATTCAACAGGTGAATCTTTCAGTAGTTCATTTCCCTAATTCTTAATTCCTTTTGTAATAGGAGTTACAATAGCTCTGCCATGCTATCTTCGTAATTTTATCCTGCACTTCTTTCACATCTGAATCCCAAAGTGACCAAAAATCCCATACATATAGTATAAGCATATGCAGTATGTAAATTATGTAATAAAGTCTGCAGTTGCCTCACTGCATCAGAATCTAATTCAGCAAAAACATTCTGAAAAATAAAAAGTATCACAATCTGCTTAAATCCTTTCCCACTTATTTTGATCATTAAAAAATATATAACCTCTGTTAATTATTATTTTTTGCTAAAATTTCTCTTAAAGCACTTGAGACTTGCAAAACAGCTGTCAGATCATTCTAGTAGCAATCAGAACTGGAAATGAATGATTGAAGTTGAAGTATCTCTGAGCTCTGATTAATAAATAATAGTACAAGAATTTCTTACACTTTGGCTTCAAATGTGAATGCACACACACACACACACACACACACACAAATATACACAAAGCTGGGTGACCTTGGGCTAGTTACATTTTCTCAGTTTTAGGAAAGGAGGCAGTGACGCACCTCTTCTGAAAAATTGCAAGGATTTGTCCAAATAATCTCTGAGAATCATCCACAGTTGAATAAAATTAAAAATCATTAATCTGAATTGGGCAAAAATGTTCACCCTGTCTGAAAAACTGTCACAATTGTTTACTGTGGATTTACTGAAGTTTATTTGCACTGCACAAATTCTAATCAATGCATACTTCACCTCATAGTGTAGTGACAAATGTCTTCTGACTTACAAGAGTTGGATTTTTTCTTATGATATGTAAGCTTGTTATATTGCATGTAGATTTCTTCTCTTATGTATGCCGCATTCATTCTTCTACCCCAATTAGCAAAGGCCACAGCTGGAAAGGTATTTGCTTGATAATTAGTTCCAACTCCCCCTTGCTTCCAAGTTCTGCGTTCATTAAAATTCTGTGTTTTAACTGGTCCAGTTTAAAATAAGCATTGCTATTAATTATGATCAAATTGCATTGGAGTCGTTCCAAAATGTTGCTTGCCAAGACATGCAGACTGTCACTGAGTCAGTTTTCTGAGATAGATATTTGTGAACAATTATTAATTTTGCATACCAATTATTACAGCTATTAAAAAAAAAATCTTGGAGCTGGATTGAATTTCCCTCCAGAATATTTTCTATAGAACTTTGGGTATAGATGTTCAAATTCTAGTCTTTATTTGTGATATATAGGTTTTTAAAAAATCTCTGTCAGACCTTAGCTGAACTTTATCCTGTTGAACATTGTTGAATACATTTTGACACGGAATAATGGCATCATAGAGAATTGGAGTTCATTCAAAAGGATTTTTGCAAAATGAGCAAAGAAGGAATACAAAATGCATTTACCATAAGGTAATTGCCACATCAGTAAAGCATTTTCTGATAAAAATATGTAGCAAGTGAACATGAATGGCAAACTCTTCTCAACTGTAGACTTGCTCCTGGAAAGTATACCTGCCTGGCAATTAAACTTAAGGAGGAAAATAATTGCCAACAATGGACTTTCAAGGCTTCGGGGAATAGATTTGGAGCTGAGGAAAATATTCAAAAGGCTGAAGCCCCAACGGCACAGGCCCAGCAACATCAGTAGGTAATAATAGTAGCCTAATATACTCAGGACAAAAATTTCTAACATCTCTTTTCTCTTTTCCCTGTTCAGCTTGAGAAGGAATTGTCAAAAAAGCTTGAAGAATTAGAAGGTAGGGTATGCATTCTATTGTCCTAGAATAAATCTATTGCAAGATATTATAAACTCTTAGCCCAATATCAGATTTCACTTTAATAATGGTGAATCAACATGTTTAATGTTAATCGTTGGGAAATCTGAATATCATTGTCATCTATTATGGTGTTAGTTTATCTGGAAGATTGTTCATTCCAACTAATTATCTAGTTAATGTTATGTATTTGCCTCATTGGAGAGCCCTTTTCTTGGTCAGATTAACTGTTCTGCCATCCATGTTAATGGAAGACAAAGCTAATAACATCTCAGTGCAAGAGTATTTATACCTTTACTTGGTGTAGGAAATTGAAACAATTACACATGTACTACTCATTCTGTATGGCCTCTTGCACAGACTTAATAATACATATCTTGGTAGGTGTTGCTTAGAAGGATTCTTAAAGTCTTTCTATATATTTTAAGTTTTTAAATAAGTAAACATAAGAAAGACAGACATGCTTTTTAAATAGGCTAAAGAAATAGACTAATGTTAGAGTTTCATTTTTCCATTTTTTCCTTTTTTTAATTGTCCTTTTTTATATGTAACTGACAGATGGTCTTTGACTATAACTAAAGTTTATTTTCTTTCCCCTCATTTCAATTATGTCCAATTTCCTTTGCCCACTAGTGATTTTTCTGTTTCTGGCAGGTGAAATAACAAGCTATCAAGATGAAATAGAGAATGAATTAGAAAATAGCCGGCCCAAAGCAAAGGGAGTTTATGCAAATTATAGCAAGGATGGTAAGTTGATCTGAAATCCATTAATGAAGAATATGCTTAAATAGGAAAATGATTGTATGGCAGTTTGGTAATAGAGGCATGCATTCTACAAGATTGATTTAAAATAAGGCAAGAGTAGGATAATGTAAAAAAGGATGAATCCGAGGTGGGCTACATGTACTGTAACAACTGGTTCGCCAAAAATGTGGGTGCATGCCCCCTTGTTTTTGCGTGTGGCTGCAAAAGCAAGGGGATTTTCTTCACTCGGCAGCTGTGGTGAGTAGAGTGGATGAGGGATGGAAGGCAGCTGGGCTTGTATGGGCAGGGCAAGCAAACCAGATATAAGGAAAAGGATAGCACCGGGGTGGGTGGGTTGGCCCAGCCAGTGGTCATAACTACCAGTACAGGCGAGCCGGTCTGAACTGGCAGCAGCCCACCACTGGATGAATATTTTAATACAGCTACCTGCAACCTCGAATCTCAAGCTTTATTGGACTAAAATTTTCATCATTGCCAGCTATTGGAGAGGTGAGTTGGTGGAAGGTTATTTAATGGGAAAGGGAGACTGAATGTGATCTATGCTAGTACCGGCTACCTGACCTGAGAACGCCCATTTCCTTCCCAAGTATCTTGAAAATGGAATTCCAACAGCTGCTAGAGGAAGGGACGGGGAAGGCGTGTGAGTTGGCAAGGGCAGGGTACTGCAACTATGCAACTATGGAATTATGCAAATATGATATATAAATAGCTTCATTTTTGTCCTGAGCCTTTTGGCAGACTCTCAGCTTTGCAAATTAACAAATACTTTAAATATGTAATTGTGGCAATACAGTGTTTGATTTCACAGCTTAAAAATAAGTAAAATAAGTGAATAAAAATCAAATGCCAAGATTTTTATTTTTTATAGTTCAACTCATCAGATTATCAGTATTACTCAGGAGACTTCTGGGTGAAAATATTTTGGATCAAGAGATTGTTATTGTCCCAATACAAAAAGTGAATTTGGAAAGCTGAAAATGATGGAAGCATGCATGTAGTGAGTTTTAAATGGCTGAATGCCAAGTCCCTGAGCAGCTACTTGGGGAAATCACTTGAGCTATACTATGCAAACAGTTTTATATGAAATTATAGCGTTTAAGAGAACAGTGTATTATTTTATTTATTACAAAATACTTCAATTTAACAACATTGGGGAAAAATATCCGTGTATTATTTTATTGTAGGAGGTCCTCAACTTAAAACAATTTGTTCAGTGACTGGTTGAAATTATGGCAGTGCTGAATGAAAGCCTTTTCTCAAAGTTACAGTGATTGCAGTGCTCCTGCAGTCATTTGATTGAAATGTGGGCATTTGGCAGTTTTGCCTGCATTTATGATTGCAGGGACACTATCTCCTCTGTCATCTATGTTGGCTCCCTACACTCTGCATCACCTGTGGCCTTTTCTGTCTCCTCATGCCCAACCTGGCCCTTCACATGAGGCTTTGTACCTCATTGTGCATGGGAGTTTCCTCATGAGTCCTGTGGAAGATGACCTCATATAGTTAGTTGCTGTCTCATGAAGGGCCAGCATGGGCACACCTTACCTGCAGCCAGAACAAGAAGACAGTCAGGTGGGAAGGGAGGGCATAGGGATGCAGGTGTCTCAGAGTTCAGGGTGGTGAGAGCAACTGGGACTAGGATTGGACTGGAATGGCTGTGGCTTTGCACCATGGTCCTGGGATCACTGAGGCTTCCAGAGTGGCTGCAATCTCATACCATATTATGCTGCTGGGGTGGCTAGATCTGCTTGCCATCCTGCAAGGCAGGGTGCAGGACAGAAAAAAGGGTAGAGATAGAGTGGGAATAACAGGCAGTTGGGAAGAGTTGAAAGGAAGGTAGGCTCAGAATTGGAAGGAACCAAGCCTGAAATGTCTTGGATTGGGGTGGGTAAATTGGCTAATGGACAGTGGAATCTCGTTAATGATGGCAACAGGATTGCCATTGCTAAGTGTTGTGTCACATGACATCACACTTTATGACTGCATTGCTTAGGAATGGAAGTTGCAGTCCTAACTGCTATCATGTTTCAAGATCTACCTTTAATTTGATTTGAGTTGATCCAAACTCCTGAGCCCAAAGTCTAATTCAGTGACCGTTCCAGAAATTGCCTGCCCACCTGTTCTTTGAAGATACCTCCCTCAACTCTGTTGCTGGTTTTAGACTTATTGTATTTTAGGTTTATTCTATCTTTATGTACTTTCTCATCCTTATTATGGCTTATAACATGCAGCGACATAAAAATAGTGAGAGCATTGCCAGCCACTCCATGTGCCTTTGAATGTCAGGAAAGACTTAAAGCCAGTCTCTTGTTATTTAGGATTCTGAAGTTATTAGTAATTGTCTTTAAATGCTGTTTTAGTGTTGTTTTCATATTTACATATATTGTATCAACTAAATATATATATTGGTTTATTAAGACTGTTCTTAATAAATAATTCTATAAATAAGTTACTTTCCCAATATATATTATATGCTGCTGATGTACATACTAAATACCCTTCAAGATTTCTGAAATTTATGCTGACTTGCATATAATATGTAGTAACAATCCTTTTCTGATAATGTTAAATTATGTTTTCCCTATTTTCTAAAGTTCATATTTTTGAGTCTCGGGAGCTGATCTTGGCTCAGTGGTGGGGCTGTTGCTCTTCCTTTTTTAAAATTATTTTAGCAATAATGGAAGTCAGGATGAAGGAGGCTGTCAGTGAGAGCTAAAACTATGCACAATTCAGGAGTACTTGGTTGCTGAATCTTATTTCTTTAATGGCCCCAACTACATGGTTTAGATTTCAATTCTTGGAATAGTATTTCATTATCGAAGTGCAATAATTCACCTACAAGATGTAGAAGAATTAATTCCTAATAACATCAGTCATGTTCACAAAGCAGGCTCCGCACCAGTTATCATGGGTTCATTCAACTCTGGAACTCTGTCTGTATCTTCAAAGGAGAAGTGGTATTGCATCTCCTGGCACTAATTGCCATTTTGATGAAAGTGTCAGCTCTACAAATGACTCTTTCCTATTGCAAGGATAAGTTTAAATGTATCACCTTTCCAGCCCCCTAGCCCCCGGCTTTCTAGTCCTGTTACTGTAATGTTTTTTGTGGATCTTGGAAGCTAAATTGAAAAAGTTTGGCTGCCGGCCCTAAAAAGTCCCCTGCCCGTTTAATATTAAGTGATGACTAAGTGGTTAGTAGCATCCAGAAGCCTATTAAGGTAAGAGGATATTCTTCTGCAGAATGTAAAAGCAAGAGCCTGAGTGAAAAGATATATTTTGAGACCCCGACTTAATAACAAGAAGCCAATGCGAACTCTTATGGCAGTTTCAAATTAGAGGTCCCACCAAGGAAAAGTAATTAATTGCTACTTTTTTGAAGGAACCAGTCCATGTTATTTACATTATTAGACAGTAAGCTGCATATCTGGGTACCAGTTTAGTGTAGTGATTAAGGCATCAGGCAAGAAATCAGAAGACTGTGCATTCTAGTCCTGCCTTAGGCATGAAAGCCAGCTGGGTAATTTCGGGTCAGATACTCTCTTTCAGCCCAATCCACTTCATGGATTTATTTGTTGCTGTGGGAAAAATTGAAGAAATGAGTATGAATATGTTCTCTGCCTTGAATTATTTATATAAAAAAATAAAGGTGGGATAAAAATCAATCAAACAAACAACTTAGTATATAGTATTGCTCAAGTGATGTCAACCCTGGTTCATTTCTCAGTGATTTTGAATAAAATCCACTACATTAAACACAGGAGATTTCAGTATTTTACTGTTGTTATTCCATATGTTTTTTTCCAAGTGTAATTGGAAAATTGGTTCTAATTTGAACTCACTCCTAGACAAGGGAGTAAATGTAACACTCTAAGCTACATTAGGTAATGTACTGTCTGCATGGATTACTCTTTTCCAGAACGAAACTCCTACTGACATTGTATGTGCTATTACTCAATCTTGTTAAATATTATGAATATGTTACTATACTTGATATCAAGTTTCATAAAAATGGAAGTCAAACATTTTAAAGAGAAAACAATTAGTGTATAACTGGGATAAGAAATAATATTAAAACATGGTTGGACAGAATATTCTAATTTGGAGGGGACCACATTGGGAAAGATTCATATATGTTTGGTGATGTACTGCATAGAGATTAGACACATTAATTGGTGGAAGAAATGAGACCTTTTGAAGACCTTTCTGAAGATATGACTTTGATCCTTTGACAAGCACAGATAATAAACTATTGAAAGGTAGAAAACTAATCTTAGGAATCTTAAGAAACTCATAAATAGCATATCGAGCACTTTTAATTTTATCATATCTGATAACATTTGATCCTCTGTCCTTAAAGATTGCATGGAAGATACTATTTCAAGTATATTTGGAGATGAGGATGGAGAAGATGAAGAACTGGCAGCAGCAGCAAATCATCTGAACATGGACTTTTATAATGAACTGCTTGATAAAGACCGATCAAAGGAAAAAGAAATTTCTGTAAGGCCATCTGCTCTGGAATCACTGCTTGGACCTCTTCCTACTGCAGCCAGTCTTGGAATAACAGAATCTATAAAAGAATGTATATTGACTAAAGACCGAGACCATAGTAAGTATAAATTTATTGATAAATTATTCATTTGAATAATCACTGAATTATGATCCTGAAAAAGTTTGTGAACATTAATTGTGGGTTTTTCAGGGCACTAGTGTTCACATTTTATAGCATCTAAAAATGTTGCACTTTTTAAATTAGTTCCATAGATTTTCTTTTTATTTGACATGTTTTCATTAATTGTTGGTGTTTATTCTTTTCAGAATAGATTTGTTGGCTTACACTGTACATATGTGGTTTTCATACAATGAATAAAATGTGGTTTACTTCATTCCCTGAAAATGATTAAAACCCTAGTAAGGAAAGAATTAGTTCTAACAGAAGAAAATATAAAGCATGTCATTTAGGATTAAACTGAGGAATTTTTGATGTTCTTTGAGCTTCGTTGTTTGCTTGCAGACTTTTCATTGCCCAACTAGATAACATCACCAGTGCCTCATACTTCACATTTTCTGTGTTTTACTGTTCTTTCAATATGCATGCACTTTCAATCTGAAGAGTCATGAATGTCTCTGGGATATGTGTAGGTTCTCATATGGCCTTGAGGTTGGTTGGTAGAATGTTTAGCATCTGCACTGTGGCCCCATTTCTGTGGAACACTCTACCCTTGTAAGTGAAAACTGTTCTCACCCTTTTGGCCTTCCTGAAGGGTATTAAAACTTGGTTTGGCCAGTTGGCTTGGGGCCACAAGGGAGGTGCTCACCACTGGTTGATGGGATTAGAAGATCTCATCCCCATTTGGTACATCTCTTGGTCCTGGTTTTTTGTATAGTTTTAAATTTTTAATTTCCATAGTTATAATATTTTATTTTATTTCATTTTTAATTTTTTTTATTCTAGAATTTTTTTTTATTTGACATACATTTAAAACAGACAAATCAAAACACACACACACACACACACACACACACACACACACATATGCATTTTACAGCGTATATTGAGCAATGGTTAATTTTTTTTTGCTTTATCTTTATCATTGACGTGATCTTCCTTGTTACAATAACTCCTTCGTTCTTTTAATGTTTTAATTTCTCTATATAATTTATAATTAAATGCACATCTTCTGTAATTTCTGTAAGTTATCCAAATATCAAATATTACCTTTTCTTTAACCAATCATACCAAATGTTCCATATTTCATAATAGTCACTATCTTGTTTATTTTTTAACAATTTGGTTAGGCTATCCATCTCAGCACATTCATGTATTTTTTTAATTACCACATCCTCTAAAGGAATGAAAGACAGTTTCCAGTTTTGTGCGTAGGTTATTCTGGCCGCAGTTATGATGTGCAAAATTAAATATTGATATTTTTTCTCCATGTTTAAATCTGTCACACTTAGCAGAAAAGTTTCAGGTTCAAGTTTTAAATAATGCAGTCCCAGACAAAGATAAAGATTATGGAACTTCCAAAAAAACAAAAAAGGAAAGGAGAATACTCCCTTCGTCTTTTAATAATATGGTAAGAGAACTTAACTTGAAAGATGTGTGGAGAGAATTAAATCCAAATAAAAAACAATATACTTTTTTTTCGAACCCCCACCACTCTTGGTCCAGAATAGATCAGATATGGATGGACCCTGGGTTGATGGAGAATATTGGAAGGACTGAGATTTTGCCAAATCTATGGGCTGACCATAATCCCATTCAAATTAAATGGAAAGGAAAGAGAAAAATTGGAAGATGGACATTTAACAATACCATATTAAGAGATAAAGAATATATTGAAATGATAAAGAAAGAATTGAACATATTTTTTTGAAATAAACAAAAGAGAACACACCTCTCTACAGAATCTTTGGAATAAGGCCAAAGCCTATGTGAGAGGTCTAACTATTGCTTATAGTATTAAAAAGAATAAAGAAAAAAGACAGCAACAAAACATATGGAGGGAGAAACTGAAAGATTTGGAAATAAGTAGACAAAAGGACCCAAACAATTCAAACATTAAGAAAGAAATTGATCTGGTAAAACATAAAATAAATTTAAATATACAGGAAGATTTGGCCCCAAAAATTAAATTAGCAAAACAAAATTATTTTGAAAACACAAATAAGCCAGGGAAGTGGTCAGTCCATAAAATTAAAAAAGAACAAGACAAGAGAACGATCGTAGCTCTCCAAGATCAGGAAGGGAAATTATGTATGCAGACCCAAGAAAAGAAAGAAATTGCTAAGGAGTTTTTTATGAAATTGTATAAGCAGGAAGAAGTACCAGAAGAATCTATTGATCAATATTTGAATGAAAAGAATTTGCCCGAAGTTACTGATTAAGAGAAACAAAATTTGAATAATAAAATATCTATAGAAGAAATTAGGAAGGCAATTGGAACACAAAAAGCAAATAAGACCCCTGGCCCAGATAGAATTCCTTAAAACAATAGAGGAGATATTGGTGGACTTGTACAATGAAGCCCTGGAGAACGCTAACATGCCTAAATCATGGTTGGAAGTGTATATTATTCTTATCTATAAAGAACAATCAGACCCACAAAAAATTCAAAACTATAGACCAATATCACTTTTACAAAATAATGGCTACAATATTGGCGGAAAGATTAAAGAGAGTATTAAGTAGAATTATCCACACTGATCAGAATGGCTTCCTTCCCCATAGACAAATAAAAACAAATACAAGAACCATTATGGATATATTAGAATATTATGAAGTACACTCAACCAAGACAATGGCATTGATATTCTTAGACTTCCAGAAGGCTTTTGACAACCTGAATTGGAACTTCCTTATTAAACAACTAATAGGCATGAAATTTGGTGAAAATTTTATAGGATTTATTAAGACAATTTATAACATGCAAACCGCAAAAATATTAATAAATGGGGAAAATACAGATATCATAAAGATAAATAAGGGAGTAAGACAAGGCTGCCCCCTAGCTCCTCTATTGTATATATTGGCAGAAGAGACTCTCTTAGCACAAATTAGGCAAAATCAAGAGATTAGAGGACTAAAATTTAAAAAAGAAGAATATAAACTCCAGGCATTCACTGATGATATGGCATTTATATTAGAAGAACCCTTAGAAACGAGCCCTATACTACTAAGAGAAATAGAAGAATATGGAAAGGTGGCAGGGTTAAAAATTAACAAAGAAAAAAACAAAAGTGTTAACAAAAAACTGTACAAAGGAGCGGAAGGAAGAACTAGCAAATAAATTAGGTATGCAGGTGGTAAATAAAATAAAATACCTAGGGATGTGGTTGACTGCTAGATGTTCGTTGATTAAAAAAGATAACTATGATAAGTTAATAACGCAAATAATTAAAGATTTAGAGAATTGGGCCAAATTGCAGTTATTGCTATTGGGACGTATTTTGATAGTAAAAATGAATATTTTGCCAAAACTGTTGTTCCTGTTTCAGACAGTGCCAGTCAAGTGGGAAAAGAACTTTTTTGTAGAATTAATAAATGTATATCTAAATTTATATGGCAGAGGAAAAAACCCAGAGTGAAATATAAATTATTACAGGATGCCAAGAAAAAAGGAGTATTTGGCCTTCCAGATTTTGAATTATATTATGATGCTGCTATAGTAAACTGGCTTAAGGATTGAGTTAAATTAGAAAATAGAAGGTTATTAGTATTAGAAGATTTTGATCTCCAAATTGGCTGGCACGCCTTCATGTGGGATGGAAAGTCTAAACAACATTCATATTTCCAAAGGCACCATGTAAGAAATGTGTTGTTTAATATCTGGGAAAAGATTAAAAAAAGCCACTACCCAAAGGTTCCATTGTGGCTATCTACATTGGAAGCAGTCACATATCCAAATCTATTGGATTATGAAAATATTGTTAGGTATAAAGATTTACTATATGATACTGGAGAACTTAAAAATAGGAACCAAATACAAATTCAAGGAAAGGAGATAGCATGGTGGCCCTTTGCACAAATACAAACCCATTATAAAAAAGATAGAGAACAATTTGGCTTTAATATGATCCCACAAGAATTAGATAAAATATGGCTAGGAGAGGAAAAGAAAACAATTAGTAAAACATATAAATATTTTTTGGATTACAAATTAAAAGAAGAAGCAGTCACAGAATCTATGATAATTTGGGCTAAAAACGTGGGTCATAGTATTGAATTAGATAAGTGGGAACACATCTGGCAAACAAATTACAAATTAACCATGTCAGTCTCGTATAAAGAAAACCTATATAAAATGGTTCATCGCTGACACCTACCTCCTGCGAGATTGGCTAAGATGTTCCCCAACTTATCACCTAACTGTTGGAAATGTAACTACGCACAAGGAACATATATTTCACATGTGGTGGATTTGCCCATGTGCTCAGAAGTTTTGAAGAAATATTAGAAATTGGATTTTAAATATAACAATATTTTAATTGACTTTCCATTTATCTTTTTATGAGCTGTAAGCTGCCCAGAATTGCACAATAGGGGAGATGGGTAGCATATAAATGTAATAAATAAAAATAATAGTAAATTTTATTGTCTGATACTTTTATCACAGCCTACTAGGGATTGCCTATAATTCATTATAGCTTTCCAGTTGTACATAGAGGTACCCTACACCTCCTACAAATAGACAGAAATCTAATTTGGGCCTCATTAAAGTAGCGGATTGTCCAGAGGACAAAAACAGGATGCTGGAGTATATAGATTTGTATGCTGAGCCAAAAAGATGTCCCAATATTTTTGGAATCAGAGACATCGAAACATAATATTTGTGAAGAATAAAGGGCAGCAACAGACAAGCCAATGCTGTAAAGTTGATAAACCTGAGTCATACACAGGCTTTTCCTCTGTTTAGAGCAAGGGTCTTCAAACTTGACAGTTTTAAGACTTGTGGACTTCAACTCCCAGAATTCCTGAGCTAACCTGACTGGAGGAGGAATTCTGGGAATTGAAGTCCATAAGTCTTAAAGCTGTCAAGTTTGAAGATCCCTGGTTTAGAGTGAAATGATTTTCAAAGTAAGTTATGCCTCTTTCAGAGTTTACAC